GTGTGCTTGGGGGTCAAGGTTATGGCAGGAGGTTATCTGGACAGTGTTGAGACAGCCTGGGAGAACAGGGTGTAGGATGGAGAATGACTTATGGGAAGATTCCAGCTCTGACTTGAGAGAGATTGCTAAGATAAAAATTAATCTGGCGTGTACCAAAAGGAAAGCCGATTTCAGGGAAGAAAGTGCAAATGGCTGGGTGAAGGAGAATGAGAGACCTCACTGAACCTGCCTTCCAGAACTTACTTGCTGTGTTACCAGGACTAGTTTGTTTTGTTTTGTGGGGGGTGCTAGTTTTCATTTTAATTCTCTGAACCTCATTCTACTCATCTGAAAAATGGAAAGCAACATTTACATCTTAGTATGCTAGAACTAGGACTAAATAAGGTGACATATGGAAGCACCTGACAAACCATAAAGGTATGTAAACATGGGAGTTTTGCTCTTCATGCGCAAGATAAAGGGAAGAAGGTGAGTAGCAGAAGAGAAGCTGGAATGCCAAATGGGCAGCATGCAGCACATAGCAGAGACAGATGACTGAGGGAGAAGTTGAGGACCACCATCACCATCCACACTGTAACAGTCAACAGGAAGAGTAATGAGATAGCAGAAGAATGAGAGGGAGGAATGAGAGCTGGGAAGGTGTAGAAGGAACCATTACAGCGCCTGGGCTATAGTGGGGGAGGGGCAAAGAGGTTGGTAACGGGGTCTCTGTTCCCTAGAGCTCCGAGTGCAGCAGATGGTCTCCATGGGCATTGGGAATAAACCCTTCCTGGACATCAAAGCCCTTGGGGAGCGGACGCTGAGTGCCCTGCTCACTGGAAGAGGTGAGGGCCAGAGTGCTGGGGGGTGGCCCCCAGAAGTCAAGACCCTGAGAGTGAGGGCACAGTGCAGAGGCGTGGTGGAAAGTAAGGAAGGGTACTGAATGGATATGTCTTCCCAGAAACTGGGGGACTGACTGGGAGGCCCTCTGTGAGACTGAGGGTCATTTCAGGAAGCCAGGAGGGCTTTCCCACACCAGCACCCCACCCCTCCACCCCCACTCTCTGCAGCCGCCCGCACCCGGGCCTCGGTGGCCGTGTCATCCTTTGAGCATGCCGGCCCCTCCCTTCCCGGTCTCTCACCGGGAGCCTGCTCCCTGCCTGCCCGCGTCGAGGAGGAGGCCTGGGATCTGGACGTCAAGCAAATTTCCCTGGGTGAGGCACCTCTCAAGGGGTGGCTCCCAACAGCTGGGTCATCATGGTGATGTTCAGGCTGCTTGCTGCTGAGCAATTCCTTTCTCTGGCCAAGTAGCCCAGTTGCCATGACAACTATGTACAGCTTCCCCATTGCAAAAAGAGCCTTCCATCTGGTTGCTAGGGTGATGCTTACAGCAGCCTGTTGCTAAGAAGCACTTCCTCTGTACCTCTCTCTCTCTAGCTCTCCTTGGGTTTCTATGGAAACTGCTTCAGCTTCCTGTTGTACCCTCCTGGTTCACCACGGCAATCCTTATAGTTTCCTGTCGCTTCTTCCCTGGTTGCTCTAATGATGCTGCTGACAATTTCCTGCCTCTTGGTAGGGGGGTTCTCTTGCAACTGGATTGCTATGGTGACTTACAGCTTCCTGTTGCTATGGAGCTTTTCCTTCCCTGATGGAGCAGCTTGGTTGCTTAAGGTAATCTAGAGGGGTTCTATACCATGCTCTCACCCTAGCTTCCCCTCCAGCCCCAGAAACACTTGACTCTTCTGGAGATGTGTCCCCAGGACCAAGAAACAGCCCCAGCCTGCAACCCCCACGCCCTGGGAGCAGCACTCCCACTCTGGCCAGTGGAGGGATCTTAGGGCTGTCCCGGCAGGTAAGTCCCTGCAATAGGGCTGAGAATGGGGTGGTCTCTTGTAATCATTCAACCTATGAGGGGCAGGGGGATGAGTGAGCGTGTGCTCCCAGCAACGGTACAGGTTGGATGGATATGTTGTCTAGTCTGCCTTTCTCCTCTCTCCCAGGCCTGGCTGAGAGGGATCCAGGTCAGAAGTGAAAAGGAATCTTTAATAAGGAGCACGGTGCAGGAGTGATGAAAATCAGACTTGGATTAAATCAGCAAATTCAGGAACTTTGGGGAGGAAAGAGAAGTGAATTAATTGATAGGCTTGGTGGGGAGGATATATGCACGAGGTCATTTCTTATCCTTTAAATTCACTGCAGTTTCTCTTCCCTCAGAGTCATGCCCGAGCCCTGAGTGACCCCACCACGCCTCTGTGACTGGGTGAGTCAGTATCCCTTTCTACCACATCCAACAGCCTTCCCTCTTGCCCGTACCATCCTTCCTTCCCCAGGCTGCTTGGGAGACAGCTAATCTCCCCCCTCACCCCCACCCGCCCCCCTGCCCATCCCATCTCCCTCTTCTCTCCTGGCTTCTAGAGAAGATCCGGACCTTGGCTGCAGCCCCTCCTCTCTGCACATTTTGGGCTGGGATGGCAGGGGAACCTAGCGGAGGACTGGAAGACCACTGAATTCCTTCCTTCTGCTTACTGGACGGAGAGGAGGTCACACGACCAGTGTTTCCCTGCTACCGCTATCTCTAGCTCTCCCCAGCCAGGTGCCTTCCTTCAGGAACCAGAGTGGCCACATTTGCTTGCCTTCATACCCTGAGGTTGGGGAAATGATCCCTTATCCAGTCCTTACCCATTATGAGCCACTGCATACTCCCAGGACACCAGTCCGTGTCAGCCCTTCCCCAACAGCCTGTGTTCTCCCCTTTGCCCCACCCCCTGACTCTCCCTGAGAAGACTCATCTCTGCCAGGTTAACTTGAGTTCCTGGTGACTCCATTCTGAGATGTCACAGGAAGCAGAGCTATGCAAAGCATTATAGTAGGGTGGGGCAGGGGACTGCAAACTTTATATATGTAATTACTGTTATTATAATACTATTGTTATATTAAATGTATTTACTCACACTTTGTCTCTGAAGAGCTAGAGCAGAGCTGTGAGTAGAGGCGATACCGCCAACTTGAGCCCTTCCCCTTACCCAACTATTAAATAGAACACAGAAAATAAAGCCAAGACCTTTATCCCTTACCTGCCCAAAGCTTGCCCTGGGCCTGGGCCAGTGTGCATCCTCTTAGAGGAGTGGCCCCCAAAGGCTCAATGCACCCTTTGAAGTTCCTCCTCTCATGCTGCACCCACTTCTTGAGGCTGAGCTGGTCACAGTCAAGCTGGGGTCCAGCACAGGCCAGCAGTTCTCAAAATGAGGTCCTTAAACCACAGTGCATGAAGATCCCCTAAGCTACTTGTTAAATGTTAAGTCCTGGGCCCAACCCCAGAGCTACTGAAGCCAAAGCCTGGGGGTAAAGCCCAAGTTTCTGCATTTCTTACCAAGCTCTTTGGGTGATAAAAAGCTCCTGAAGAGACGACTATTTTCTGGACACAGTGGCCCAAGGACAGGACTTAGGCAGACAGACACAGTGCCCTGTGCCTCAAGACACCTGTTTATTGGGGACACAACTCTGTGACAGGGATGACAGGAATCGTACCAAAAATAGCGACGTCTACAGGGCCCCTGAAGGGGCTAGAAGGGTACAGTGCCCCCCACCCCCACCCATTGTACAAAAATAAACTTTCACGCCTATGGACCAGCAAAGACTGGCAGAGCCGCCCCTCAACAGGAACATTCCTCTCTGCTAGCCCTGGGACCCCGTTCTTTGATCCTCACCCCTGCCACTTCTAAGGCACTGTGACTCTCCCCTGGGCCGGGTGGGTACCGCCCGCCCACCCTCCTAACGCCCTCTGCCCCTCCACCTCTGGTCCACCTGGGGCTGGGATGTGGGTCCCACGCTGCCCCCTGCTGGCTGCTCTACCCAACTACCTCTAGCGTTCCCCGGCTCCTGCGGGGTAAACTCACTAAGCTAACGGCCCCTTAAAGGGCTCCCTACCTTTCTTGCCCCCCAAGCCCAGCCTCTCCTGATCTCAACAGCCCAGGCCCCTCCTCCCCTTCCTGTGGAGGACTGGGGGGGTTCTCTCCTGACGATGCTCGGGCATAGGGCGGGGATGCATCGGCCTGGGGCGGCCTGCGGCCCCTAGCCCTGCGGCTGTGGTGCACTTGCAGGTGCAAGGCCATGAGCTCGGGGGCTCCAGTGGCGAAGGGGCAGAAAAGGCATCGGTGGAGGGCCCCCCCCGG